GTTTTTCTCCGGTACCGGGAACCGAACTCATGACCTTGCGCTTGCCAGGCAGGCGCTTTTGCCACTGAGCTAAATCCCCAGCCCCAGAACTTGGGGGTCCTAATTCCAAGTGGAATGTTGGCTAGGAGAGCTGTCTAGAGGATAGCAGTGTCTTGGCTCCGTCTCCTTTAGCACCTTGGGCAAAGATGGTTAAGGAAGTACAGTGTCTTAAGAGTAAGGGAGGGAGGTAGAATTCAGGGGTGGAAGGGGAGGTTTACAAGGATACTGAGAAAGATGCATCGATCCTAGTCTTGTGCCTTCTTTCTTTTCTAGGAGTCTCAGTGACCCTGCCAAGGCAGAGCTATCGGGTGAGTACCCTAGACAATGGAGATGCTTTTATGTGTGAAAGATGGTGAGTTCATAATACAGGTAGAGAACACCTCCCTAAAGTATGGATTAAAGGATCCTCAGGCTCATAAGACAACCAAGTCCCAGAGAGGAAAGTGGCTTGTCTAAAGTCATGTAATTCACATTAAGAGTAAAAGCTAAAGCTGAGTGTGGTGGCACAGACTTGTCATCTTAGTTACTTGGTAGGCTGAAGCAGAAGGACTGCAAGTTTGAGACCAGCCTGAGGAACACAGTGAGGCTCGGTTTGAAAAAGTAATCAAACCAACAAACCAACAAACAAAAAGAGTGAAAGCTAACATGTACTGAGACTATACAGGTGTTGCTGAACGCATTACATGTGTTACCTCGCTTAATCTTCACATTAACTTCATGAAGCAGAATCAGATGTTATTATAAGGTTTTATAGATGAGGAAACCTAAACTCAAAAAAGCTAAGCTCAAGGCTGCACAGCTAGTTGGTGTTGCAACCTAGATGTAAATCGAGGTAGCCTGACTCTGCGGCCTCACCTCTTAAGTGCCCCATTCTGTTCTTCGCCTAGGCCAGGGGTTAGGGTTGTAGACTTTCAAATCAAGGCTTTTACCATCGCTCTTCATTGTTTTGGATGGGGATCCAATTTTAGTAAGTCAAATCTTTGTCTCAAGTGCGCTACTTTAAGCGCATCCTCAGTTAGCCCTTTTGGGAGGTAAGCATCACCATTTCTCCCATCTGCACTTTGCCCATATTGCGTCGTTCGTACATCGTGTGAGCTGTCCAGGGAACATGTGGTTGATACGCTTCCTATCACTGCCAGTACGTGTTCTGCTATCGGTACCTTCCTTCCCAGCCAGTTCTGGCTCTCTCTTCTGAGCTGCTCTTCCCATACTCGATTGTCAGTGCAGGTCCAGGGACAGTGACAAAAAGTCAGCTATAGTGGTGAGATCCTTTTGGGCAACTCTCTATTTTGTTTTCTGTGTCCCATTGATTGTTGTTGATTAAGCAATCATTCTTACCTTTATCAGTCTGCATGGAGGCATTCATTCATTCTCTCACTCATTCATTCCTAAAACACTTGCTAAGTGCCTAGTGTGTGCCAAACATTATGCTACATGCTGGGGGGGAGGTTACAGTGATGAACCAAGTGTGCATAGTCCCTGCCTTCATGAAGTTTCACGTCTAGAGGGAAGTATGTCAAATGGTTACCCCTCAAGTGCCCCTAACTCAAAGCGGGAATTGTGCATCTTCCCCATCCCTATGGCCTTATCTTGAGCTCTCCCTGCCTGTCTCTTCCATGGATTCTTGCAGCTGCTCTGCCAGTCTCTGCTTCCTCCTCCTAGCCACCACCCTAGCCTGAACAGAGCAGACAGCAGCAGACAGACTCCACCTTTGAAAACATCCCCTTCAACAACGTGTCATATCCTTCCCCTGCTCAAAATCCTTCAATGACTTCCACTTCCTGTCAAATGAAGTTCAAATTCCTTCAACATCTGGCCAGATTGAAAAAACTCCATGAGCAGATTCTGCCTGCTTTACCCTCTGCACACGTATCTCCTACCTGTCCTTCTGCTCCACTAGGAGAGGTCTGGCACTTACGGTCCCCATACACCGCCAGCGCATTCCTTGCCCAAGTTCCATCTCCTCGAATCCACCTGGAGTAGTGCCTCTTGCAGGACTGCTCCCTTCCTCTGCTCTCCTTTCTCCATGATCCTGGGCCCAGGGCCTAGCTGATGGGAGGATCGGATGAGATGCCCTCGTGGGCAAATGCATCATGGGGGACTGTCTTCATATCTGTCCCCATATCTGTCACTTGTGGATCATGTGTTCTCTGCCAGACAGTGAGGCTTGGTGGCTTATAGATATCATCTCACTGAATCCCCATTACACTGTATGGAATCGATCATATGTACTGGACCCATCATCCAGAAGAGAACCTATGAAACAAGCTCAAAGAAGTGAGGTGTCTGGCCCAAAATTGCCCAGAAAGGCCAATCTGGAGAGCCTGTGGTCTCTCGGGAGTTAGTCCACTGCACTGGGATGGAATGAGCCCCAGTTCTGCCTTTTTGGGCACCTGTAGTGTCAGGCCTTTAAGTTCTTTAACATTTGATTTTATTTAAAAATTGATTGCTGTTTCCCCTGGTCCTAATTCTCTGTTTCTATTTGTCACTGTTTTATTGCTTTGTTGTAAACCTCAGTCTTTGGGAAACAAGGAAAGGGTAATTAAACATATGCAAAGAAAAATATGCTTCTCCTATCTCCACTCACAGTGCCCAGGAGAGAAGTGGACACCAGTGTCGGGTGAGCACCGTCTACCTTGTGCCCTGCAGAACCTTAAGGAAAAGGCATAAAAGACCTTGAGGCTATAATGTGAAGTGAAATAAGTCAGACACATGATCTTAAATATTGCGTGGTTTCTCTTACATGAGAAACCCAAAGTATAAATAAAGAGCAAAACAAAAGATAGATGATGGGAAGTAGGGACAGAGATGTTTCTCAAGTGGGAAAGGGATCAAGAGATGGAGGGAAGGGAGGGAGCGGACGGGAAGGGGAAGTGGAAAGAATGAAGCCGTATTATGAAGATGCAGCAACTCCCCAAAGGAATGTAAACATGCACGGCAAACATATACTAATAAAAACTAAAAAGCCCCCACTCAAACAACCAAATCAGAAGGCAAAGGTGAGTTTCTTCTGTGAAATAAAAGGGCACAGAGCCTGTATCAGGTGCTCTATTAAAATGCCAAACCATGGCACGGACTCTATTTCCTTCCATGGTTTTATTTTTATTTTTAGGGAGCCGTCAGGTGGTAACAGATGATTCATGCTTTACTTACTCTTCTTGTTTATTTCCTTTCCTCGACCTTCAGATTTTCTTCCTCTTAATGTTTGTTCCGGGTTTTGACAAAGCACTGAGGTACTTGACTTACGTTGGTAGCTTGTTTTTCCTAATGTCTTCTTAGGAAAAAAAAAAAAAAAAAAACTAAAGGAAGTGACAGTATTCCAAAACCATCTTTTATTCCATCAGGAGAAAGATTGCACCTGCTACTTCTAAGACTACTCTCCAACTGTTTCCTTTTACAGTGAAACTTCATTAGAAGTCACCCCATGAATTCTAAATGGGGATGGCTTGGGCTCTACCAGGCCTCACTTTGCCTACCATGAGCAAATGAATGGAGAGAATAAATGGACTGTGAGCACCGGGTTTCCAAACTTCAAGGCTACGAACTTTGTCATTCCTTTGGCAGAACTATTTGCATATAAGTGATTAATGCTGGGGATTCTTTTCATTTCATTAAGGCAAGTCTCCTAAGACCTCAATTAGGCTACAATTTGTTAGCCTACTTGGAGTTACTGTGAATTATTGAAAGCAATAAAGCTTCATTTCTTTATAAGTAAACTACAATACAGATGGTTCACTAATTTGAAAGGCTACCTCCAATTAGTTTGAGTAAGTGAGGTTGGATTGTATTCAATAGCAATTTATTGATTCCTTTCATCAAACAAATCCCTCTTCCTAGGCAAGAATTCTTTTTAATAGTCCCTATACTCTGGGAAGCCTGAAAGAGTGGTCTCTCTTTCTCAGAGATGAAGATATGATGTCCACCTAGCTTTCTCTGAGTTGGAACCTTAGTAATAGGGATCCTTTTGTCCTGATGCATCCACATGCTTGCAGTACTTGCCCTCTGTAGCTAAAACTCGGGCTAAAGTTCAGGGACAGTATATGAGTGGAATGGAGGACTGGGTTGTGTCTGATGTTGGTCAAGTTGCTTTACCTCTCTATGTTCGAGTTTCCTCATTCTGCAATTATATACTCGGCCTGTGAACGAGACAAAAGGCAGCCAGTTTTGAGAGTTCCCTCTATGAACAGGGTTAAGGAACATTCTGTGCTAGAGGTAGGGCTCACTCAGTGGCCAGGATTACAGTCTGTGGATGAAGAACCAACTGAAGGGAATTTCTTCTAATTCACCTGCTTGTAGGTAGCCCTGTACTCTACTTGGATTAAGACACAAGGCATCAGTAGCAACTACAGGAGAACGGAATTATAGAACAAAGACATTTAGGAAGATAGGCAAAGATACTGGATCATTTATATTCCTGACCCAGCACTTAAATACTGTAAAGAAGGCGAGAGGGAGAGGCTTGCTCCCACAGTTACTGGTGCGGCAAGGAATTATCAGATTCCAGGTAAGTATTTGAAGTGGGTATCTTTCCGTGCTGTGAATTTCTTTCTCAGGGACCCTGGCCTTGGGTGCACAGGGTATGTTTCGGGCAAGTTGTCTATTCTCTGCCTCTCCCAAGGGTGATGAAGATAGGAGATGGGCTGGGCCACTTTGGTCATACTTGAGTTACGAAATGACAATAGAATTCCTGCTTCACATGCTAGGGAAATGGGCTTCTCTGATCTCCTGGGAGGAATTGTAATTACCAAGTTTTGAAAAGCCTAGGGAATGTGGAACTGAGGGCTGCTTCTCATTTGGGACAGGAAGAGACAGACATGGAGGGCGAGACTGATAAGTGAAAGGGCGTTAAGCACCATTTCCCCCTGCAGGATGCTGGGGCTGGGCTGGAGAAGACGCAGCGGGAGGTGGTGGTGGTGATGGGGGAATCCACCCTTCTTGACCTAATGCTCACAACTACCCTATGAGCTCATTACCATCACCAGCTGCACTTTACACATCAGAGGCACAGAGAGACACAGCGGTCAGTGCTAGTGAGTTGCTGAGCTACAATTTGGACTCAAGAGCCTCTAAGAGTTATGGCTGTGGGGAAGATCAAGTCCATCAGGGACAGCAGAGAGACAAGAAGAAGCGGTGGAGAGGGTTATGGTAACATGGCACCGCAAGTGCCTGCAGGTGGCCTCAAGGCCAAGAGGTAGCACCGTGTGATGGTTACGAGAACGCGCTGGAAACCCCCATCGTCTATGCCAGTCTAAACTGCAGTCTGAATTCAACTCCTACATCTACCACTTGCTGGCTGTGTGACCTTGGGCGAGTTACCTGATATCTCCATGCCTTAGCTTCTTTGCCTGTGAAATGGAATGCAGGGATAATAAAAGTTCCTACTTCCTGGGGCTGCTGTGAGGACAGAACGAATAAGCACAAGTGTTTATAGCCAGTGCCACAGGGAAGTGCACACATGCAGGGCTAAGGCTGGTTGGGAGCACCTCGAGCCTCAGTTCCTCCTTACAACCTCCTTTACTGTTGGTGTGAGACCTAAACGGAGCAGTTCCAGAAGAGAGGAGCACACAATAAATACTAGATCGGAGATTCCTGGCAACTGTTTTGCATTACTCCATCAGCCCCTTACAATTAACGCCAGGGTGAATTCCACATTCTCCCATTGGCCTAGGATCTGCAAGTTCAAGCATTGCACTAACTGAGTGAGTCAGGGGTAAGGGATGGAGAAAACCTGTTTCTCTGTAACACTTCTGCTTTTAATACAAGTGTCCTTTGGTTTTCACGACAGACAGTGAAAAAGGAAAGTGCTATGTTCTCACCGGTCCTCCCAGATCCAGAGCCTCAGGAATCCACATTCTGCAAGGTAGCAAGGGCCGTGGGTAAGAAATCACCCTCCAGAGCCAGATTGCCTTGGTTCAAATCTCAGCTCTATCACAAATTGTGTGACTTTGGGTAAGTCACTTCATCTCTTTCTGCCTCAGTTTCCTCATCTAGAAAATGGGGATGATATTTGTATCTTCGTCACAGGAGTGTTATTGGGATTGATTACATGTAGAGAGCTAAGAGCAGCGCTAGGCACGTAGTTGATTTCTTTCCAGAGAAACCAGGGAGATGAATGAGAAATGAAGGAAAGCTGTGGTGATCCTCTCCACCCTCTCGCTTCCTCACCGGCTGGAAGATGCTCCTGTCCAAATGGGAAATTGAAGCCAAAATAGCACAATAAAGGAAAGGAAGCACTCCTGGAGCAGATGGGCTTCCACTTGCATGCTGAGGAATGTGCTGACTACTCAAGAATGGGACTTTGGCAGTCACTTAACACAATCATGAAGCAAAGGGAAATGATTAAGTCTGTTACTAGGGTCAGTGCCAATCTGTTTAAGAAAGTGGTGAGGCGGAAAAGGAGGGTGTGGGGAAGGAGGGCCCCTAAACATTCCCGGGACCCGTTTGCAAAACTTCCTGGGCAGCAGTCCCAGGTGAACATGGCTGGAGACCTGCCCTCCCCAAATGCCCATCCCAAGTTACCACGCAAGTAGCCTTAACCATGATGGTAGTCAACAAGGGCCCAATCAAGTCAGGGCTCACATGCCTCTTTCATTCTGTTCCGCCAGCTTGTCCTGAGTGCCCACTCTGTGTGAGCCATTGGGCCATGAGCCGTGGGGAATGCTGAGAAGAATGAGACAGGTAAGGCCCTTGTCCTGGAAGAACTCACAGAGGATCGAGACTGTGCTCCCTGCAAATGGGGAAAACATCTGAGAAACACTGAGGGGTCAGAGAATGAGCAACTCTCCACATCTTTAGTTTATCTGGAAAAAGATGTCTGGAAAGGATAATGCTTAACATGCAATAAGCTCTAACGGTAGAATTAGCGGGGGTGTTGCTTCCTGGGGGAGGGGGAGGCACGACAGATTGTAAAGTCATTATAGGAAAGGCTTCTGTCTCTGTCAATCCCTTGACCAGTAACTTTACATCTACAGAGACCTATAGGCAGGGCATTTAGAATTAGATCGGACCAGCTTTGACTGAAGTGCTCTCCCATGCTGTCATAGCATAGAAAATCTTTCGGAGTTGGATTTCATGTAAATATTGACCGGGCGTGAATACAGAAAAGCCTATAGTTATAATGTAATCTACTGCTTCTCATAGCATGGACCCTGGACCAGCAGCATCAGCATCAACTGGGAAATTATTAGAAGTGCAGATTCTCGGGCTCCACACCAGACACCTTGACTCAGAGACCGAAGAAGTAGACCTACTCCTCTGTGGTTTAACACCTCCTCCAGGTGGTGCTGGTGCGTGAGTACGAGAACCACGGGTCTAGCCCAGTGTTCATTAAACTAGGCTCTGGGCTGCCATGTAGGATCTGGGGGAACCCCTAGGAAGGGATATAAGAGCAACTCTATCTTTGTTTGTTTAACCTGATGAGCTGTCACATTGGATTTTTTTTCTTTTTTCTTTTTTGGTCTTTTTGAGGCAGGGTCTCACTATGCAGTTCAGGTTGGCCTTGAGCTCACTTTGTAGCCCAGGCTGGTCTCGAACTCACAACGATCCTCCTGCCTCAGCCTCCCAAGCACATTGGATCTTGTTTAAAAACATTTTTCCAATAGAAAAAGCTTCAGAATCATGACTCTACTCTAACCAACCACCTTCTCTACCCATCCTGCCTCATCGTTTGCACACACAGAGAACTGAGGTGCAGAGAGGGCAAGGCTCTGGGTGGCAGGTGGGACTCGTACCCAGGCTTCCTACCTTCCAGCCCAGTCCTTTGAGGCATTTCCCATCCCGAGAGAGGAAACAGGAAAACAAACCTCAGAATCATCTTTTGTTAAGATCCTGGGTCTGTCTGTTTCTCTTTCTGGCCTTCTTATAGGAAGCCTTTCCTGTTCCTCTCTCCTCCTGTGGCCCAGGGCTTGTAGTCTCAGATCAACATCCCAGTCAGCTGCCTCTTTCCCCCGGTGTTCATCTCAAGCCAGAACCTCATGGAGTGTCTGCCTGAACTTCCTGCCTCTCCCTCTACTCCTCGGGCAGCCTGAAGTCTGAGGTTCTGCCTCTCTGGTTTCCCTGGCCTCCATTCTGTGCCCATCCCTAGTCCTGGCAGTGCTCTGTCACTTCCCTCACACTATGAGCTGGGATCGCTGTGAGTTCCTCCTGCTGGATCGCTGCACCCTGTATCACGTCTCTCCCTCGCCAATCTCTGGGCCTGGTGACCCAGCGGGTAATGCGTAGACCTGGTGAGAAGGCAGGGGAGATGTCAGGGTTGGGGGGGTCTGCTAGATCTATTAAGGCTCAAAACAGAACTGGTAGGAAGCCCCCACCCTCCCGCACCCTGCTGCCTGTGCTCATTCAGACTCCAGGCATGGCCTTTGGCTTCAGGCTTGAGCCTCAGCCTGCCCTGATGGTTGTCTTCCCCAGGGCAGCAGCACCTATGCCAGCCGTGTCCATGGAGAGGAGAGCATGCAGTGGCTCCACTGGGTGCCAGCTAAGGACACCACCAAGGCCAAAGTCAGAGTCTCAAGCCACTGAGCCTACGTGAACAAAGTCAAGGCAACTGCAGTGTGGTGTATGAGTCAGCGGCTTGGCTCTTCCCTTCTGTGTGCGTGTGTGGGGGTGGGGTGCCAAGGAGGTGGATTCTGGAGGAGTAAGAGACTAAAAAAAAATTGGAAATGCGACCACTGAAAGACTAACATTTGTAGGCCACACTGCTCATGCCACCCTCCCCGCTGACAGAAGAGCATTTGAAATCCTAGCCAGGCCCAACCCTATCCCACTTCTTAGTCTCTGTGGACTGGCTAAGGGCAGGAATTTCACAGCTGAGGTGAGCTGGCGGTGTGGGGAAAAAGCAAAAGGGCTCTGGGGTCAGCATTCAAATGTGGGCAAGGGGCTCATCTCCTTGAGCTTCACTTTCCTTGGCTCCAAAAAGAGAATGGTAGCATTAAGCTTAACCATATGAAAATGCTATTTTCTAGGTCAAAAAAAGATCGACTACTGCTAAGTTCATATGGTTCAACCTAATTGCACTTTCTTCTCAGGGTGATTGTGCAAATTAAATAAGTTAATATGCAAAAGTATATATACCAGTACCTGACATATAACAAGTGCCCAGTGAAAAATAGTGCTGCTGCTGCTGCTGACAATGGGTATGCAACATCTAACTGGCTGCAGAGGACCATTGATCCTAGCTTGACTTGCAAATACAAGCCCTTGACAGGCTGAAATATGTCAGTGGTATACTCTGGAATTTAAATGGACCCATGACCAAATATTCCTTCTTTCTGGGATGTCCAGGAGTGAAGGATTTTGCTTATAGGTCATTCTTTATGGTAAAATCACTCTCCACTGAATGCTCCTATTAAAAAGGGAGAACAGTTTCATTGACTGGCTGATTGATTGATTGATTAATTGATTCATTCATTTATTCAGAAGCTTCTCTCAAGAGCCTTAGATATTGCCAGGCACTGTACTAGATGTTAGGATGAAGAAGGTATGATCCCTACCCTGGAGGAATTTGCAATTTAATGTTGGAGAAAACCCCCAGACAGGTACCAGCAATTAGGTTTTGACAACTGACATAGCTATATAAGTAAGGTGTGTCTCAGACTTGTGAGTTCACTGGGAAGAGATCGTCCTTCCTCCAGCCATCCCAATTGTGTTTGGTGGTCAGGCAAGGTTGCATACAAAAAGTAACATTTCAGATGACTTTGAGTAATATGTAGGAATTCCTTGCATGGAGACAGTGCATGCTCAAGCAAGGGAAACCTAATATGTAGAAGTGCAGTATTGCAAAGAGGTGCAGGCATTTTTAGAAATTGAGTCACAGTTCAGTGTGGAGAATGGGTGAGGAAGGGTGCGTCAGGGGCTGAGGCTCAAGCAGGTCAGGGCTGGGCTGGATATATATCATAGATGTGATTCTGTAGGCAATTGAGAACCAGCAACAAAGGTTTTCTAGAGTGTCCAGGTAGAAGGAAATCTTTTTATTTGGAGTGGGGCTGGGAATTGTTCTTTACTTCATTGAACAAGTATAATTTATATGCAATAAACACGCCCACTATAAGTGCATAGTTCAATGAATTTTGATAAATGTGTATACTCATGTGCTATGGTTTGACTATGGGTTATGTGTATGCCCCTAAAGGTTGATGTGTTGGAAGCCTGGGCCTCAGTGTGGCTGTGGTGGAGGGCCTAGTGGGAGGTCTGTGGGTCAATTAAGGACATGCCCTTGAAAGTGATTAAGGTAGTTCTCATGGGCTCGCTTGGGAGTTCTCCATAGAGGGTTGTAATGAAAGCCTGAGTCAGGCCCCACTAAGATTCCTCCAGCTTCCTGTGTGGCAGTGTAATCACTTGCCACCTGAGCTCCTGCCATTAGCATTCCCCACAATGTGATGCAGTTGAGAGGGCCCTCATTGCAGCCGAACTAATGTCAGTGCCACCCCCTCAAAACTTTCCAGACCATGAGTTTAATAAACTTATTTTTATTTATAAGTAACCTGCTTCAGTTATTTTGTTGTAGTAATGAACACTGACCAACACACGAGGTAACAAACACCACCTGCATCTCAGTGCCCACCTCCATGTACTTTGGAGCACTTTCTGTGAAATTTTCAGTGTGTTTGGGACTGGGCAGGGACAGCAGTATCATCAGGATGAGCTGTCCTTAGCCCACAATGTGTCCCACCTAGACACAGGATCCAGTCCATGTTTCAAGGCAGTCTTTGAGGCTTCAGGTCTGCCGCCCCATGCTTGGGGCCCACCAGATGCACACAGCACTCTAGGGTTCTCAATTATAGGATCATCTATGGGACTGTGGTTGGGGCCTGGCCCTAAGGTCAGTGTAGATTTCTCCACTCACTAGAGCAATATTTTTTTTGACAGAAGTGCATGAAACTGGGCCACCAGAATGTTATTGACACACTGATTTTGGATGAATCAAATAGTGTATATAGACATCTACCAAGGCTGTGAGAACCCTTGGACCAGCCCTGTATGTAAAACCACTACTGCCCTGGGCATGGTAGTGCAAGCCTGTAGTCCCAGCACCCGGGAGGGTGAGGCAAGAGAATTGCTGCAAGTTTGAGGCCAGCCTGGGCTACATAGTAAGTTCAAGGCCAGCCTGAACTGCAAGCAAGACCCTGTCTCAAATAAAACACAAACAAACCCCGAAACTAAAGCCACTGCTATGATCAAGTTTTACTACATTTTAAACACTGCAAAAAATGTCCTTGAAAAGCTTTGTAATCAGTTTCATTTCCATTCTTGAGTCTTAGCTGCCATCATTTTGCTTTTGGCTACTATAGGTTAATTTTCCTAGTCTAGAATTTCAAATAAAAGGAGCTATACTGTATCTAATCTTTGTATCTAGTTTCTTTCAATAAGCATAATGCTTTTGAGGCTTATCACATTGTAGTATGTAATGTAGTTTGTTCTTTTTATTGATGAATATTTATCATATTAATGCTATAATGTATGTTGTTTATGGATATAAATTATGATGTATATTGTATACTATTCCATGGCTATACCACAATTTGATTATCCATTCACCCATTGCTAGACACCTGGGTTCCTTCTAGTTTTGGGATTTTACAAATAAGGTTACTATGAACAATCTCCAGTAAGTCTTGTTGTGGGCATTTGTTTTCATTTCTCTTGGTTAATTATCTCTGAGTGGAGTGACTGGAACAAAGCATTGGCTAATGTTTAATTTTATAAGAAATTTACCAGATTTATTTCCACAATGGTCTTATCATTTTATACGCCAGCTAGCAATGTGAGAGTTACCATTGCTTTGTATGCACTTGGTGTTATATTTCAGCCATTCTAGTGGGTGTGCTCTAGTGTCTCACCTTGGTTTTAATTTGTATTTCATTGATGACTACTAATGTGTTGGAAACTTTTCATGTGTTATTTGTATGTCTTTCTTTGTGAAATGTCAGTTCAAATCTTCTGTCCATTTTGAGTATAATTTACAGACAGTAGAATGCACTCATAGTAAGTATGCAGTTAAGTGAGTTTTGACCAAGGAATACAACCATATAACCAATACTGTCTAGCCAGAAGTGGTCCTTTCATAGCACCAGCTTTTGGTGTCATTAACTTTCTGTACTATTTTATTAGTTCATTGATTTCTGCTTTTATCTTTGTTACTTCCTTCTATTTACTTTGGGTTTAATTTGCTCCTATTTTTTCTAGCTTAGTAATTTTGAAGCTGAGGTCATTGATCTGAGACCTTTTTTGTATTCTAATATAAGTATTGTTAAGAATGTCTTCCTAAATACTAATTTAGTGGCACTCCACAATTTTAAAAATATATTTTCTTTATTTAAAAATACTTTCAAATTTCCTTTCTTTTTGTGGTACTAGAGACTGGGAGCTCTACCACCAAGCTACATTCCCAGTTCTTTTTATTTTGAGACAGGGTCTTGCTAAATTTTCCAGGCTGGCTTTGAACTTGTAACCTCCTGCCTCAACCTCTAAAATTTTCTTTTGAATTTGTTCTTTGGCCCATAGATTATTTGAATATATGTTATTTTATTTTCCAAATATTTAAGGATTTTCCAAACATCTTTTTGTTATTGATTTCTAATTGTGTTGAGGTCATAAAACATACTATGAAAATTTCAGTCCTTTTAGATTTTTTAAGACTTGTTTTATGGCCCAGCATATGGTCTCTCTTAGAGACTATTCCATCTGTGCTTTAGAAGAATATGTGTTCTGCAGATGTTGGGTGTAGTGTTCTATTCATGTCAAATAAGTCAACTTTATTGATGGCGTTGTTCAAGTCTTCTAGATCCTTGCTAATTTTCTGTTTACTTCTTTTATCAGTTATTGAGAGAGAAATGGCAAACTTTCCTAGTGTAATTATGAGTTTGTCTATTTCTTTATTTTTTGAGGTACTGGGGATTAAAGCCAAGGCCTTCACATTGAGCTATATAGCTGACCATTTTTGGTTTTTTAATTTTGAGACAGGGTTTTGCTAAGTTACCAAGGTGGGACTTGAACTTGCTACCTTCCTACCTCAGTTTCCACAGTGCTGGGATTACAGGAGCGCACCACAGCACTTGTGAGTTTAGCTATTTTTGTTTTGGTTCTGTTCATTTGGCTTCATGTATTTTGAAGCTTGTTGTTAGGTGCATATATATCTAAGACTGTTATATCTTCTGATGGAGTGACCCTTTTATTATTATGAATGTGTTTGCTCCTAGTAATATTCCATGTCTTGAAGCTTACCTTGAAATTAATATAGCCATTCCTGGTATATCTTTATCCACCATTTTGGTTTTAACCTACCTTTGTCTTTATACAAGTACTTAAAAGATAGTTCCTATAAAAAGCAGAAAAGGTTGAGTCTAATTTTTTTTTGTCTTTTTGAGACAGGATCTTGCTGTGCAGTTTAGGCTGGGCTTGAGCTCACTTTGTAGCCCAGGCTGGCCTCAAACTCGCAATGATACTCCCTGCCTCAGCTTCCCGAGTGCTGGGATTAAAGGCATGCACCACCACATCCGGCCTAATTTTGTTTTTAATAAAGCAGGGTAATCTACTTTTGTGTTGTACTGCTTAGAGTCCATGTATATTTAATGTAGCTATGATACAGTTGGAGTTAGGTCATCCATTCACTCTGTTTGTTTTCTGTTCTTCCCATCTGTTCTTCATCAAACATTTTCTTCTTTTCTGTTTTCTTTTGGATTGAGTGCCCTTACAGTTTGGACATGGTTTAAGTGTGTCCTCCCAAAGGTTCATGTGTTGGAAAGTTGATACCCAGTGTGGTGATGTTAAGAGCTGGTGGTGCCTTTAAGAGGTGGGGCTTAGTGGGAGGTGATTAAGTCTTGCTGGGAGCTTTGCTGTCAAAAGAGATTAGGGCAGTTTCTATGGGACCTTGAGTGAGTTCTCAAGAAAGATTCACGAAAGATCAAGCGTGGGCACTCCCCAGGCTCTTCTTTGACTTACTGCCTGGCAATGTGATCTTTTTGCGTGCACTTCTGCCATGGAGGTGCTCTTCACCACGAGGTCTTCCTTAGAGCTGAGTCGATGCTAGCTCCATCCACTTGAGTCTCCAGAAATATGTGCTGAACTTCTTTTCTTTATAAATACTCAGCCTAAGGTATTTAATTATAGTAATAAAAATGACTAATACAAGTATATACTTAAACATACTTTTAATTTTGAAATAACCATAGGTTAACAATTTGCAAAGGTAACACAGAGAATTCCCACAGACCTTTCATCTGACCTTCTGTAATGTTAACATCTTACACAAATATGATATATCAAACAAAACCAAGATGTTAACATTGGCACCATACTGTTAAGTAGACTACAAACTCCATTCCAATCTTCCCACTGCTCATTTCCATTTCAGGATCCCATCCAGGATATCACATTTTAATTAATCATTATCTCTTTAGGTTCCTCCTGGCTGTGATGGTTTCCCAGATTTTTCTGCTTTTGATGATGTGAGCAATTTTGTGGTGTACTGGTCAGATATTTTATAGAATATCTCTCACTTTGGATTAATCTGTTGTTTTCTCCTGATTAGTTCGTGCTTATAGACTTTTGGGAAGATATTGTGGGGGTGATATAACCTTTTCTTATCATCATCTCATCATACCATATGACATCAACATGACTTACAGGTGATTTCAAGCTCCATCATTTAGTTAAGGTGGTATCTGCCAGGATTCTCCATTGTAAAGATACTGTTTTTCCTTTTCAAGTTCTATTCATTATATACAAGTCACTAAACTCAGCCTACATTCAATGAGTTGGGAATTAAGCTCCACCTCTTGGAGGGACAAGCATCAAGGAATAATGGAAATCTTTTAATGTTCTATTTTATCTCCACTATTTGGCATATTAGCTATATTTTTGTAATTGCTTTTGGGTTTAAAAGAAGCATTTTTAACTTATCACAAATTACCTCTAGATGCTGTGACTTCATGTACAAGTAAGAAATTTAAAATAGCATGCTTTGATTTTCCCTTTCCCATTTTTTTCTGGTCTTGTAACCTGCTTTGCTTCTACAAATAGATTATTATTTTTGAGTTAATAGCTATCGTTTTTGAAATAATTTACTGAGATAAAATTCACATGACAAAATTAGCCATTTAAAATGAATAATTCAGTGGCATTTAGTAGTCAATTATGTTTTTAAAATAATTTGTATTTTACACCTAGTAATTGCATATTCTTACAGGACACAATGAGACAGTTCAATAAGTTAATTATCTTTTTTATTATTTAAAAGACTTAATTTTTAGTAGCAGCACAGAGCAATTTACTGAAAGTGTTTCTTTTTTCATAAAGGTCAAAGTACTCAAAAGATTTTCTTTTGGTGAGGTCCGCTGTGATATTTTCATACATGCACTTACTGTGCCCTGAGTATGTTCGTCCATCCTCCTAAGTTAATTATCTTTTGAAGAGTTTTTGGAATGGAGGAAAGCACACCT